GTGATCTTTGCTTCATCCAGTACATGATTATTAGTTCGCCTGTCTTCCGAAGTGATGTGTAAGGGCCTTCTCTGTAGTGGCATCCTGACTAGAATAACCTCCCGCTAGAGCAGTGTTTCTCAACCTGTGGGTCCCCAGATGTTGTTGGATTACAACTCCCATCATTCCTAGCCAGCATGACCAGTGGTCAGGGATGATGGGAGTTGTAGTCCAACAACATCTGGGGACCCACAGGTTGAGAAACACTGCTCTAGAGGCTCAATGGACACAAATTTAGTGTAGTTCCAATGGATGGTTAAAACACACTTGTTCTCTTAGGCTTTTGGATAAATTCAGGGCTTTTTTCAGCCAGAATTCAAAGGGAACTGAGTTCTGGCACCTCTCTGGTGGGCATCATTGCCATTATAAGAGAACAAGGGAGGCATTCATGGTGAGTTTCAGCACCTCTTTTTCTAGAAAAATAGCACTGGATAAATCTCACTGGGTGCCTCCAACTCCTGGTATATTCTGAATTGCCCCTCTTTTTGCGGGCGATGTTTTAAATATTGCATTGTGTTGTATTATCTGATATACTATGTTGTTTTTTTAAAAAAAATATTGCATTTTTGAAAGTTACAGAGAAAAGAATAAATTAAAAGTTACAACCAAATACACAAAAAGAAAAGAAAAAAGAGAAAAAATGAAAGAAAAAATACAAATAAGAGAAAAAAGGAAAAAAGAATTAAAAAGATACGCACAATTGTTCAAAGGATACAAACTGTAATTTGAATATTCTATACAAAAGGCTCCCAGAAATAAATTGCATTAATATTTCTTCTTTGGTTTCTTTCCTTACAATCACTTTCTTTCTGTTCCATTAAACTTGTTTGAATCCCTGATAAGTTAATTGACTTCCCTGTATCCCTTTGTGGCTTCAACACTTCTCATTAGTTACCAATAATCTGTATTCCTTTATTTAAATCAATTTTTTCCTATTATTTCTGTGAAATTTATATAAGCACAACCAGGTATTATTTTTGGAACCATATTTAGTCAGGTACTGTAGTTTTTGAAGCAAACCCATTCCTTTTTTACATTGTCGCCTGAGTGGTTTCTTCTTAGTTCTTGTCATTTTGGCTAGTTCAAGGTACTCGCACAACTTCAATTGCCACTTGTATTTTGTTGATATTAACTCACTTTTCCAGTATTTTGCTATTGATATTCTAGCTGCTGTTGTCGCATAAAGAAACACTCTTTTATATTCATTTGAGATGCTTATCATTAAAATGCCTAATAGAAAAGCTTCAGCTTTCTTTAAAAATGTATGTTTTAGGATTTTCTTTAGTTCTTCATAAATCATGTCCCAAAATTTTTACATTTGGGGACATGTCCACCACATGTGGAATAAGGTTCCTTCATTTTGTTTACATCTCCAACACTTATTACTGTTATTTTTATTTATTTTGGCTAATTTGCTTGGGGTCAGGTACCATCTGTGGATCATTTTCATAAAGTTTTCTTTTATAAGATAACACGTGGTGAATTTTAAATCTGTTTTCCATAGTTTCCCTCATTTTTCCATCTTGATAGGATAACCAAAATCGTGTGGTTATCTGATATACTATGTTGCTTTATATGTATGCTGGAAACTGCCCTGCGATTCCTATGTAATTAATCAAGCTTGGCCTAAAAGAATGGTAAACAAATAAAGTGCCAAAAAGATTCCCACTGCTAAATAACTAGCCCTTTGGAGAGGGTGTCACAGTTGCCAGGTAGGAATGCCAGTTACATGCTGGAGCCCTAAGCTACTCACGTTCTGAGCTTAGTGGGGGAAGGCAGTTCAGAAAGCTCTCAGTTACAGATAAGTTGAGGATAGAGAGCACAACATTTTAATATTTTGCCATTGCAACCATGGATGTCTAAATCTAGCCCTCCATGGCTCTGCCAGGAAAAGCTTTTCTCTCTTCCTGAAAATAAGCTACCCCAAGTCAAGCAGAATGCTTGAGGTGGGGGAATGGGACACCAGAGGGTGAGGCCTTCATGCCTAGCAATGGGTCAATTTTGGTTTCTCTCAGTTTTCCATTTTTACAATCAGCGCTCCACATTTCCACATCAGTTTGAAGTTTTTTTTTAAAGTCCTCAAGAAAATCCATCTGCATTTAGTTTGAATTTCTCCTATTACACATATTTTTATGCAATTTTGCCTAATATATACATTTCGTTGCAAAGCTATGTCTTCTAATAGAATTCATTTTTTAATTCATTTTTATATTTTCACTAATATATGCATTTCTCTCTCTCTGTGTGTGTATACATATACATACATGTGTGTGTGTGTGCACGCGTATGCATTGTGTGTGTATGTGTATGCATTTTTCTACCCATTACTTGGTTGGCATTGCAAAATTCAGAGAATCTCAAATAATAACTTTATTACAAATGTGTTGACATTTACTGTATTATGCTTATTTTTTTTAAAAAAAGATGCTGTGTTTGGTTTGCGTTCAGAAAGTGTGAATTAGATAAGCTTGCCTTTAAATGAGAACTGAATCTGATTTCTCCTACATCCTTATTCACAGCGCAAGAAAAACACGGGAAGTGGCTGTAAAGAAGGATGGACTATTTGTCCATCTAGCCCAGATAGAATTGTGACGGGCCGTTAGCAGTTCCCCAGGGTCTCAAGCAGGGGCCTTTCTCATCACCTGCTACCTTAAACCGGCTACTCCCCAGATTCCATATGGCTCTCCCACCATGATTTATATATCCTCGGTGTTGTATTGGGATTTGGATCCTATGGAAGCAGGGCCAGCCCTATCATTAGACACTTGTCTCTGGCAGCAGATTTGGAGAGGAACTGGGGTGGGCTCTCCCCTGCCGGCTGTCCAAGTTCACTCTGAGTGTGCCTCCTTGCCAACTGCTTCCACCGTGCTTCAGTCCCTGTTGCCAGCGGCTGCTTGTCGTATTTCTTGTGGCAAAATGGCTTAGGGCGACAATGTATGTGTGTTTGCACACAAAGGAATTAGTCTAAGTGTGTCTGATGGGACTGGCTTCCTGTGGCTACGTAGGATTGTAGCCTTAGTTTTGTCTTAATTTCTGGTCTCTAGACTTGAGAAAATTCCAGTGCCATAGACATTTAAACCAAAGAATCCAGGGAACTGTAATGTAAGGGTACTGGGAATTGTAGTTCTGTGAGGGGTAAGCTACATTTCCCCAGGTTTTTTTTGGGGGGGAGGGGTGTCTTTTAAATGTGCTTTAAATAAAAACACTGGGAGTCATTCCTTAGTCCCTGAGCCCCTTCTTTTTAAGCTCAGCTAAATCCCCCATTAGGTGGGAGAAGTTCAAGGGGTTCCCAGGTTACCTTGGTTACAGAACAAATACAGCTTTCCGATAGGTTCTCGGCATATATGAATTTTTATAGAAACACTCCCCTCAACTTAAATTTCAGTGTGCGGGGGGCGGAATTTTCTGAGTGAGACATTCCTCTGCAGTTTCTCTAAAAGGGTTGGGCTCTCTCACTTTTTCTCTCTGCCTTTCTCTTTTCTCTCTCTGAATGCTGGTCTTATGACCTGATTATGAACCCACCCCTGGAGGAACCGGTTTCTCCAGCACAATTGAGTTACCTCAGAACATAATAATGTACACTGCCAGGGGGAAAAAAGCCTTGTGGGCACACTTGTTTGCTCCCTGAGCTGAGAGAGGATCTGAGAGCCCTGGCCACCAACAGCAAGCTAGCTTTTTCCACAGATAGGAGGACTGTCCAGGAAGTTGGACAGGTGCCTCAGGGATGTAAGATATAGGATAATATGCAAATAGATAGAATCATAGAGTTGTAGGGAGCCTTATGGGCCATCTAGCTTAATCACTTGCTCGTTGCAGAAAATTCAGAGGTAGGTGGTGGTCAAGCTGTTGCCAAGCTTCTCTTACTGTCAATAGGTTTTATGTGTGCAAACTGAATTATGGGGGACAGTGGATGGAACCTCCCACCTGCCATCCCTTATCGTACTAGTTGCAGGCAAAAAAAGTGGAACTGCATTATGTGTCAGCTGGGTGTGGTGACAATAAAAACTTTACGTTCAAAGGACCTTGTCCCCCTGTACATCCCTGAATGAGTCATAGAACTCAGCCTCATGGAAGCCAGTGGGGGGTGGGGAGGGACAAATAAGATATCTGAGAAGTCACAGATGCTCTGCCAGATCCTTTCACACCCCATGTTGTGTTTTACTGTATAAACTGATGTGATATGCACAGACTAAAGGTAAAGGAACCCCTGACCATTAGATCCAGTCGTGACTGACTCTAGGATTGTGGCGCTCATCTCGCTTTATTGGCCGAGGGAGCTGGCATACAGCTTCTGGGTCATGTGGCCAGCATGACTAAGCTGCTTCTGGCGAACCAGAGCAGCGCACGGAAACGCCATTTACCTTCCCGCCGGAGTGGTACCTATTTATATACTTGCACTTTGACGTGCTTTCAAACTGCTAGGTTGGCAGGAGCTGGGACCGAGCAACGGGAGCTCACCCCGTCGCGAGGATTCGAACCGCCAACCTTCCGACCGGCAAATCCTAGGCTCTGTGGTTTAACCCACAGCGCCACCTGCGTCCCTATGCACAGACTACTATTATTGTTTTACTGATTGTTCTGCAAACCACTTTGTGATCATCTGTGGTTTATTAATACTGGAAAGAACTAATGCTCCTTGCTTGCCTGGATGGAGGAATGTGGGCATGGATGTAGAAAGCTCTGGTTTTTGTGCAGCTGGAAGGCAACCTACTGTACAAAGGTCACATTGATTGCCCTGTCTACCTATGTCCTAAGGGGATGCAGCCTTTGGGTTGGAAAACCTTTCTCCAACCCTGTCCTAGAGCAGGCAAAAAAGCGTGTTTCTTACAGAAGGCAGATACAGATGTGGAATGCAGATGTGTGCGATATCTTAGTAGGGCGTCCTAACTTATGCATGCTGGCTTTCCAGTCAAAGTGACAAAGATAATACTGGACCTTCTGACCTCTCTTTCTCTTTTTAGTTGTGGCAGCTGCTCACGCCCTCTCCGTAAACACACCTCAGAAGCAAGTGCAGGTGAAGAAAGGAGATAATATCACCCTACCGTGTACCTATGAAAGCTCTGTTCTTACTCCAGCTAAGGGGGACATTGTTGCCTGGATGAAAATGCCAGAAGAGGTGGGCAGCCATGGTGCAAGGCATATGATACGCATGAGTGTCTGGGAGAAAATGGCACTCTGTTAAGAAACAGGTGCGCCAAGACACCAGAGGAGCCTCTTTGACCTCTGTCAGTGAGCAGCCTTTCAAGGGTTCCTTTGGTCTTGGCTGCAAGAGGATGGGGCCAGATGGTAGCCTGAATTTTGTTTTAATTCCAGATCTTTAGTCTTGTGGCACATAACATCAGGCTGTCACTTTGGCTTTGATCCAGCACTTGACAGAGGCTGCCAATCATGCATAGCAACTGGTGGCTCCAGATGGGGGCACATATCCCCTAGGGCCTATCCAGTTCAATTCAATGTGAGCAGGATGAGCAGTACTGGTTCAGATGGTTCAAAAGCAAGTCTGCCTGTGTTCAGCGGAGTTAACTCCCAACTAAATGTCCAGTATCCCAGGTCTGTGCATGACTACATGGAGGCAAGTCTCAATGAATAAGAATATTGTGCACTGGGAGCATTGCCTACTAATGTTTAAGGCTCCAAAGGAAAGGATTTCGTTTGACTGATTGTTTGGAGGCAATGCAGCAGATTGACTTGGCCCCTAAAACAACTTTAAGCTCATGGAAGATAAGTTTCTGATCATATCTTCCCTGCTGCTGCCAACCATGTACATAAAATGTATTTCTTGAGGGTTGAGAGGTAGGGATGGAAGGACCTGTCAATTTCAGTTTGCTCACTTTCTCATTTTTTCCAGTCTTAAATTCAGTTCTCCAAATTTTTCCAGCAGTTTGTGTTTGCTTCGTTCATGAAAATTCATCATCATGAACATATATTTGTATGCAGCTCTTGACTAATGTACACACTTAAAAGTGATTTCTTCCCCTACTATATAATGCATTTTTTTATTTTTTTTTACTACTGAATTGCCTCAGCAATGAGACAATTCAGGAGATAGGGATAGGTTGGGTCTCCTTGTGTTTTGTTTGTTCATTTCGTGGTTAAAAATACTATAGTGACAAACAAAAGATTTAAGCCACAGTAATTAAGTCTTTTAAACTGATACTCTTCTCTTATTGTTAGGCAGAATTTATTAACCGGTACCTTGATGATGGTGGAACATGGATTAGTGATGCTTATAAAGGTCGGGTGAACTTCTCTAGCAATAAAAATAATCATGACATTGGCATCATCCTCAGTCAGGTGACCTTGAATGACAATGGTACCTATGAATGCTCAGTCCGTCTTCGCGATGATCCTCCCTTGACACATTCAACAATGGAACTTTTGGTCCTTGGTAAGGCATTCTGCCCTTTGTATACATACCAGTCTCACACCCTAGTTCAGTAGCAGCGCACAGCAAGCAGGAAGTGCTGCTTGCAATGATCAGGGAGTACTCGGATCGCTAAAACTGTGCTCCACTGCAACATAAGGCAGCCATGCACATTTGTTCTAGATGATGATATCATGTAGTGTTTGTGCCACAGATCACTGGTCTTCAGCTGGTGGATCACGACCCACTAGTGGACTGTAGCCTAATCCAAGGTGAGTCATGATAGGAGCACTGCCACCATGCAAATATATGGTAAAAGATTAAGAAATGGGTCCCCAAATGCATGTTCGGGTTAAAAATGGATCCTGGGTCTGAAAAGGTTGAAGATACCTGCCATAGATGATCTTAGACTTGGTACTCATGGCTTTTCCTCCCACCCAGAACTCACCAGAACTCAGTTCCGGCACCTCTCAGGAGGGCGCCATTGCTATTGTAAGGGAAAAAGGGAGGCATTCATGGTGAGTTCTGGCACCTCTTTTTCTATAAAAATAACACTGTCGGTATTCATTACAGTGGAACCTCAGTTTTTGATCGTCTCGGAAGCTGAACATTTCAGCTTTTGAATGTCAAAAACCTGAAAGTAACTGCTTCAGTTTTCAAATGATTGTTGGAAGCCGAACATGCCACACGGCTTCTGTTTTGAGTTTCCCTATTGTATTGAGGCTTCTGTATTGTGTTTCAAATGTTTCGGAAGTCGAACAGTCTTCTGGAATGGATTACATTCAAAAATTGAGGTTCCACTGTACTAATGGAAAGAATGGTGAAGACAACCGTATATTTTAACCAAGTTTTCACTCAATGGGAATATGAAGAAGTGAGGAAGGTTGGAAGTTGTTCTATAGCAGATAACACTACCCACGTGTTCTGACAGCAGTTCTCCAGGAATTCAGATGTCTAATTTCATCTTGTTGCAAACTGACCCATGATCATTGGATGAAGGGCACTGTATAAATTCACTAAATAATAATTTTAATATTTCCCATGACTTGCTATTGATCCTTAAATTGGAGTAGTTGAGGTATGAACTTGATACCTTCTGCAGCGCATGTGCACTTCTGCTAAGCTATTGCCCCCACCCAGTCAGTTTATGTGCCTAAAGAAAATTGTGAAGATGTGCAGATTTTGGAATAAAACTGTAATGGGTCAGTGTTGTTTGTGAAGGTCAGCATGCATTACTGCTGGTGATGGGATCTGAAGACAGAACATGTTTTAGGCTCTCCTCAACACAACAGCTTCCATTCTTATGTTGCTGAATTTGCTCAAGTTATTCTTTCCTCCTATCTAGTGGCTCCATCCAAGCCAGACTGCAAAATTATAGGGACCACAGAATTCGGACAAAACATTAACTTGACCTGCAATTCTATCGAAGGATTCCCCAAACCCGAATATTCCTGGCAAAGCTACAATCCAGAAAACAAACAACGAGCACTTGTAGGAACAGTAACGCCAGGTAAGCAGTGAGATGTTGGTACTTTGTGAAAATCGGTTTTCTGTATTCAGTTTTTAAATGCATGCAAATATTTTGAAGATTATTAATGTAAAAAGAGGAATGAAAAACCATCATTTTAATTTAGTCATTAAAGTGTTATCTAGCAAGCACAGTGTAGATGTGATCTTCCCTTGTCCATTCTAATGTTTTCCTTCTCTCACTGGTTATCTCTGCCATTTTCTTCATGCCTGATTTCATTCAACGGCAGCAACCGTTTTAGGCACACCTGATATGTGTGAACCCAGAATTGACTCAAAAACATCACAAAAAGGACTGGAACATGGTGGGGGCGAAATGGGGTAATTGCAGGCTTTTTCAATGGTGCTTCAAATATACACAATTTCACTTAAAAGCGTGGTGCCTTGGAACGTAACCCCCACATAAATTGGGAGTTTACTGTAATAAATTCTGGATGCAACAAGGCAAAAGTGGCACTCTTGTGACTTTCATGCTAGCTCGATTGCAATGAATCCAGAATCATGCTCACTGCCTGGTTCTTCTCTCACAATGATTAAAATCATTACTTCGGACTAACTACTGACCAGTTGCTAATGCCCACTTTTTAGGAAATGTGGCTGAGAGGGTTATGATGGGGCACTTACAGTCATTCTTGAATGGTGTAGATTATCGAGCTCTAGTCCGAGTTCAGACCTGGCCATGGACGGGACTGAATCAGCCTTGGTCAGCCTGATGGATGACCATTATCAAGAATGGGACAAGGGGAGTATGACCTTGCTTCCTTTGCAATTTATGTGTGGCTTTTGATACTGTCAGGGGTGCCTCAGGTCCCAGCTCACAAAGGACCAACGCCAGTGTCTCTTTATATACAAAAGTCTTTATTGAAGTTCATTGTTGGTTTTACATCCGTGGCGCGCATCCCTACGTCTGTAACTCTAGACCGTCGAAGCTCCGTCTGACTCTTCCCCTCCCCTACACCAGTTTAACACCCGAGCTTTGCTCCACCTCTTCCTTTCCTCCCTCTGCTCCTTTCGCCTCCGGGTCCTCCTGCCCTCTGGGGTCCCAACCCTCCTGGACTCTTCGGAGGCGGATTCCTCTGACTCCTCCCCCTGTCTCCGGCGGGCTTTGGGACCTGGCTCCCAATCCGGATTTTCTGCTGACCCGCGCGCCTGCACATTTGAACTTGGCGTGCGCGCCCAGCCTGCCACTTTCCTCCTAACGGCTACACTGCTCCTGTCACTGCTTCCCCCTTCGGGGGGGCTGGCTGGAACTGACCTCCGCTCCGCCCCTCCACTCTCTGACGGAGGCGTGGTCAGTTCTGACTCACTCTCTCTCCCTGCTGGAGAAGACGCTGGTTCTGATCTGTGGGCTTCTTCCCCCCCACTACGCTCTGGCGGGGAAGCTGGCCCTGATCTCCAGCTGCCGCTTGGGGACTCACCGCTGGCCCCCCTTGCCCTGACCCTGGGCGCCTCTTTCTGGGAATCTTCTGATTCGCTGGAGAGACTCATGGAATCTCCCGGGTCACTGTCATACCCTCCTAAGCTCCCCTCAGATCCTTCCTCTTCGCTCTCCAACTCCTCTTTCCCCTGTGGCTCTGCCCCTGAGCCCCTGACAGATACCTTTGACCCTGCATATCAGGCACAGTATTACAGTATTCTAGCCATATTTATAGAGCGAAGAGTAGCATTGGCAGATTGTTTTTCAGCCCCTGGCAGTTAAGCCATAGGACACTGGAGGGAGCTGTTTTATTCCCAATGCTATTTCCTATCTATATGAAGCTATCAGGACTGGTCATGAAGGAATTTAGGACAGGATGCTGTCAGTAAGCTGATGGCATTCAGCTCTATTTCTCCATAACATCCGAATCAGGAGAGGCCATACAGGAGCTGAGCTGGTGCTTGGATGCAGTGATGAGCTAGATGAGGAGAAATAAATTGAGCCTAATTTCTGACAGGACAGAGGCCCTATGGATCTATGGTTCTGGTGCATGGGAAACTGGCCAATTGCCTGCTCTGAAGCGGGCTGCATTTCTTCTGAAGGAGCAAGCCTAGGCATGTTCCTAGATCTAGGTTTAGTGGTATTGATAGCAAGGGGTACATTTTACCATCTTTAAGGTAAAGGTAAAGGTAAAGGGACCCCTGATTAGGCCCAGTTGTGGCCAACTTTGGGGTTGCGGCGCTCATCTCGCTGCTGGTGTACAGCTTCCGGGTCATGTGGCCAGCGTGACTAAGCCGCTTCTGGCGAACCAGAGCAGCGCACTGAAATGCCGTTTACCTTCCCGCTGGAGCAGTACCTATTTATCTACTTGCACTTTGACGTGCTTTTGAACTGCTAGGTTGGCAGGAGCAGGGACCGAGCAACGGGAGCTCACCCTGTTGCGGGGATTCGAACCGCCGACCTTCTGATCAGCAAGTCCTAGGCTCTGTGGTTTAACCCACAGCACCACCCGCATCCCTTTACCATCTTCAGCTGGTATTTATTTACTTAATTTATTTAGATGATTTTTGAACCACTTAATCAAAGAGCTAAGTGGTGTGCAAATAAAATTGCAAATAAAGCTAAAACCTACAAAACAACTGAACCATTTTAATTAAATTAAAATACGACAGCTGCCTGTTCCATGACTGGGATGGCCTGACCACAGTAGTCCAGGTATTGGTAACTTCAAGACTGGATTACTGCAACACACTACATAAGGCTTCCCTTGCTCCTGATTGGGAAACTGCTGTTGGTGCAGGGTGCGGCTCTATGATTGGGGACCAGAAGCGAGATCTTGTCCACATATTACACTTGTCCTCAAAGATCTGCACAGTCTACAGGTTTGTAACTTGGTCAAGTTCAAAATTTCCTAATTAGTACATAAAGCCCATAATAGTCAGCAACCAGCTTGGTTGAGGGGTCACCTTGCCCATGAGGGCCTATTCAACTGCTTACACTTTTATGTATACAGTGGTACCTCGGGTTAAGAACTTAATTCGTTCTGGAGGTCTGTTCTTAACCTGAAACTGTTCTTAACCTGAAGCACCACTTTAGCTGCCACTGCGCCGCCGCTGCATGATTTCTGTTCTCATCCTGAAGCAAAGTTCTTAACCTGAGGTACTATTTCTGGGTTAGCGGAGTCTGTAACCTGAAGCGTATGCAACCCAAGGTATCACTGTACCATGTAATGTTTGTTGTGTATTTATGGGGAGGTGATGGTAGTGTGGTGAAACCACTGCTCTGGAATTCACAGTCTATTGACATTTTAGGCATCTGCTGGATATATATATATATAATTTAGCTGCCTTTGGTTTTTTTAAAAAAGCTTTGTTGATCTCATTTTGTACTCTGCTTTAGGTAGCCTATATATTTTTCTCAATAGTTCTTCAGCTAACCTTTGTGGATGCAGATTGCCCACCCCCAAAACATGCTTCGTTTTGATTGTCTAAGTAAGCCCTTAAAATAGCTAAAGATTTGCAAAGAAAATGTGTGCAAAACGTGCTCGTTGTTCACTAGTTTTGCCCATAGGTGGCACCACTACACCAGAAAATAGGATCCCAGTCAGGCACTGTAAATACTGGCATAATCCCCATCTCTAGGGGTATTGGTTAGTTTATTGTTTTCTTCTCATTTTGCTTCAGAATGAAGATTTAACTCTGGCCCATATTTTTATATATTAAATTGTCAGTCAAGAAATCTACAAAGAAAGATTAGAAAAGTGCAACTTAAAGAGTAAAGGTAAAGGTACCCCTGCCCGTATGGGCCAGTCTTGACAGACTCTGGGGTTGTGCGCCCATCTCACTCAAGAGGCCGGGGGCCAGTGCTGTCTGGAGACACTTCCGGGTCACGTGGCCAGCGTGACAAAGCTGCATCTGGCGAGCCAGCGCAGCACACGGAACGCCGTTTACCTTCCCGCCAGTAAGCCGTCCCTATTTATCTACTTGCACCTGGGGGTGCTTTCGAACTGCTAGGTTGGCAGGCGCTGGGACCGAACAACGGGAGCGCACCCCGCCGCGGGGATTCGAACCGCCGACCTTTCGATCGGCAAGCCCTAGGCGCTGAGGCTTTTACCCACAGCGCCACCCGCGTCCCCACAACTTAAAGAGTAGGGTCCAGTTATTGCTGCAATTGGAGCCCGTAATGGAGGGCGGAGGATAGGCCTGGCATATTCTTGCATGTACCGGTATCTGTAACCATGTTAGGATTAATGCAAGTTGCATGGATAAAGTACATAAAACATTGAAAATTGTGCTACAGTCACATGAAAACACGGAACAAATGGGGTTTCGTGTTGTTCCGACGACCCGCCTAGTTTCTATGTGGTATGAAATGTGGAACTGCTAACTCAGTCACAAGCATTATCAGAAAGCCAGCATTGTGCACTAAACTGGATGCTAATCCCTCTTCAGTAGTGAGCCAGTTAATCTCTTTCATTTTAACCCATCTCATGGATTGCTGCAAAATTGGAGCAATGGCCGCCTGTACTGACTGGTCCACTAAAACAGAATAAGGGACTGCATTTGGGAACACATGGTGACAAATGCAGTAAAGCAAAACCACACGTGTGGCTTGCCTGCATCTTCCTCAATCGATCCTTGCCAGAGCTGAGGCTCCTGGGCAATGCTCTGGTCACTATGAAACCACCATCCAGGGTCCGTAAGACTCCTCACATAAGGTGGATTTAAAACCGCAATATGGCTGAAGACACTGATTCTATTTGCACCTGCTAAATAATGATGACCCTTTGCATCTTCTCTTTTGCATCAGGAGTGCTTATGCTGAAGAACATCTCTATAGACACCACTGGCTACTACATCTGCCTTGCCAAAAACTCTATTGGAGAGAGTTCATGCAACATCACTGTTAATGTCACACCACGTAAGATTGCAACGTGCAAGGGGGGGGGGAGAAAGCATGGCTATTGTAGTCTGATCGGCAAAGCATTTAAGTCCCTAAACAACCCCACGTCCCATTTTAAGAACTGGTCTCACTTTGCTTAGTTGCAAAGCTTAGATGTGGCTGCAGTTGAGAATAAGCCCAAGACTTTGTGATGACGTACAGCTCCGATTATGTTTCCACCCTAGATATTTGTTGCCTAATAGCCATGCTTCGTTTGCTCACTTTTTAGGCAGTGTCTACATAGGACCATCAAATCATCCCCCTATTTCCTCTTCCTCTTTTTTGAAAACAAACCAAAACAGCACCACATTGGTAGATCACCAAAACTCAGCTATCTATTTTCCCTAAAAGGCCTGGTTTTGATGTGTGTAATAGCATATTGATCAAACAAGTCTACTGTCATTCATCTATACCTCACACACCTCCTTTACTACTGATCACTTTTCTGGCCAAATGACATTTTAGCCGTGTTTCTTTTAAAGCGACCCTTTAACTTGCATCTTCCCACCCATTTTAAATTATTCAAAGACTAATACAATAGAATTTGAGATAAAATTAATTTCAGTGAATTAAAAAATGATTTTTTAAAAAGACCGGCTTTCTCTATCAGTGCCATTTTATCAGCATGTTTATTAGACAAAAGGCAAGTTACTTCCTGTTTATTCTGCTTTTAAGTAGAGCAGTCATTTTTCTGAGGAAATTTCTTTAAAATTTTCGCTCACCCCCTAGAAAAGCCCCCCCCCTTTGCATTTCCCCCCGATTATTCTCCTCCATTATTGTTGTTCTTGGTGGCAGCTGCCATTTCCAACGTGCTGAAACCTCCCCCCCCCAATTAAGTAGTAAACTACCCGACTGCCATAGTGAACCACTGAGAAACTGCTTGGTAATTTTCCTTGGGGTGTGTGAGTTTTGAGTGACCATTTTCACATAACTCTGTGTTATTCATTTGACCCCAACAGCAGCTAGAGGGCCAGAGTTTCCCTAATCCTGTTCTACAGAAACCATCTAGTTCAACCTAGATGAGCCCCCTTCCTGGCTTGTCATTCACAAGTTGCTCATTTGTCATATTATATTTAGCCAGAGCCACCCTCAGGCTAGAGGGAGAACAGTAGTAGTAAGAGCTCTTCCCCAAAGGAAGAGTTTGTTTCTCAACTATGAGGTGACTAATGCTAGTATTTTCTTCTACAGCATCCATGAATTTTGCCCTACTTGGTGGAGTTGTTGGTGGGCTTGTTGCTGTTGTCATTATTATTGCTGTTGTAGCTTACTGTTGTTGCTGCAGGAATGGGAAGGAAAAAGACTATGAGATGACGTGAGTGCCTTTCATTAGGTGGGGGGTGGAAGAAAGGAGCATGGAGAAATTACATACTGCATGCACCTCTGAGGCAGCTGTCTCTCTCTACTCCCCTACCATGTCCCTGTTGCTGCTGCTTCCAATGGCTTTGTACTCAACACTTCCCCAACAAGCACAGCAACTGCTGAGCTTTCTAGCTGCTAGCAGCAGGTAGAAATGGTTTAAACCAGAGCTTTCCAAACTTTTCAAGTTGGTGACGCACTTTCTGAACATGCATCATTTTGTGACACAGTAATTCATTTTACTAGCAAACCGGAGGTTGAACTAACCCCTTTCAGCCCCAGGAGGAGTGTGGGGAGCATTTGTGTGACACACCTACACACTGCAGCCAACACATTAATATGTTGTGACGCACAGCTTGAAAAGCTCTGGTTTAAACAAAAGAATGAGGAAAGGCTTTGGACCCCTTGGTAAATAGTTCCAAAGCAGTTTCAATCTGCAGATTTTTGGGGGTGTGATTTTCCCTTTAAAAATTCATACATAATTGATGGGAGTGGAATTGCTGATCTACTTGTGTGCAAGAAAAATGGATCAGCTCAAGATGTCCATCCCTACCTGCTACCAGGGAGGTGTTTAAAACACACTTTCTTTTGGTCCACCAACTATAACATTGAGGGTAGCTACATAAACAATTAGGTTTAAATGCACGTGGCTTTACCATTTCTTCGTGAACTCCTGCTTCATAACAGCAAGCCTCAACTTTATATTACCAATTTTGAAATTATGCTGTGAAAATGTTGCAAATGGAGATTTATACCATATGAATTCTCCAAATGGAGGTTATTCCTGTGAGATTAGGCAATCGTGAGAGTAAATAAAATAAAGCTGGCTCGGAAAGCACACAAGGATATTTTGAGATTGACTTCAGAAATAGATTTGTAGCACGACTTAATGTTAAAGTGTCTAGCATTTACATCGTGCTAGTCCTCTTTTTAGGATGCATAACAAACAACATATGCGAGGGGGCTCTGGAAAGCTTAAGCAAATGGAAATTTACCCAGTAGGCCAGAGACACCTCTTTGCCAAACTAAATTATTAAACAACTGTCTCTGAAGTTAAGTTGTTAACAAGAACCAATTCACTCCTCACTTTCAGGTTTGTTCATGAATTACTGTTTTTACATACATGGGCAAAGCATAACATAATGGTGGTAGCACACAGATCTCCACAGGGAGACTCATGGAACCTCAAAAGCCATGGGGCCAAGTAGTAATTTCCTAGTATTACTTTCTGGTAGGAACGGAACAACTCTAATATGGTACCTTCAACTCCCACTTCCTTGGGCCCCTCCAGGAGGATGCCATGATCGACAGTGTCAAAAGCCACTGAGAGATCAAGGAGAACCAACCGGCTTGCACTCCCCATCTCTTTCCTATAATACTAAGTCATCAGTTAAAATTAAGAAATACAGATAACTGAAAATCCATCTTCTTCTGTGCCAAATTATTAGGGAGACAGAAAATGGCGATCATCCACCTGAGGTAAAAATACGGGGACCTGCTGAAGAGGAGATTCAGGACGAGGAGGAAGAAGAGGAGGAAGACAGGCACCAGCCAGTACAGCCACCCATTTCCAAAGTGTCTCCGGAGGTTTAAGAAGCTGTGGGCCAGAGTTGAGCATTTCCATTTGAGGGGGGGGGGGAAGACTGTTGTTAAATATTTCTCTTTCACCTTAACTCATGTGGTTTTCCAAGACAGTATAGGCAGCAAGTTTGTGGAGGCAAAATCTGACTTGTTTCCTTATACACATTTGGTGCATATCTCCTCATAAGCTCCTTTCCCATTTGCCCATCAGAGTTACCTTAACATGGAAAAGGAAGGGGGACTCCAGGACAACCATTATATTGTCAAATTGACAATATACACTCCATTCAAGTTTTCACGTGGTGCGATTTGAATTTTTGTGAACTGACACTTTCCAGTATATAGGAAAACAGGGGTATCTTTTATTTCACTTTTCACTAAGTAGGCCACTGCGATGCAAGAAACCTAGAGCCTTTAGATGAGCAGTTTAAGACACCAGCTGTTACTTATTTGTTGTGCAGCATCTACATAACACCCATTATAACTGTGTTGCTATTATAGGAATATTATACAGTGGTACCTCAGGTTACATACACTTCAGGTTACAGACTCCGCTAACCCAGAAATAGTGCTTCAGGTTAAGAACTTTGCTTCAGGATGAGAACAGAAATCGTGCTCCGGCGGCGCGGCGGCAGCAGGAGGCCCCATTAGCTAAAGTGCTACCTCAGGTTAAGAACAGCTTCAGGTTAAGTACGGACCTCCGGAACGAATTAAGTACTTAGCCTGAGGTATCACTGTAGTTTCCTCAATATTCAAACCAGAAGCTGCTAATTCCCGTCAGTGCATTATTGTTTCTGCTCTATGGAGTTTGATACGACTGTCATGCACATTTCCTGGACAATGCATAGACATGCCCCATCTCTATTATTTTATTTTAAAATGGCTCTGCACTCTTAATGGCTAACAAAAGCAGTCATCTCACATGTTAGGAAAGGATCAGACTTTCCCTGCTTTTGGAATGTATTTTTAAAAATATATAAATTGCTTGCTACTAGCATTGTCACTGCTGGTGCAATTATACTGCTAACAAGTTTTTTTTTAATAAAAAAAATCACCTGGGGGAGAATTAATTTTCAGCTGCTTGGAAAATCTTCAATACATGGGTTATTAATGATGCATTTTGTTTGAAATTTTCTGTTTTTGAACTTGCATTTTTTAAAAAAAATAATAAAGTGACACTTCACCACTACTCTAAGCATTGGCTATCACAGCTGAACTCAAATAGAAACAGTAATTACATTGAATGAAGCTGCTTTCTCTCCACCCCTTTCTAGTCCAGTACTTGTCCCTCAGTCTACATTATGTTAACATGCCTATATAATTGCAGCCATACTGGATAATGTATAATCTAGTTTTCTAGTGCATCCTCTAGCAGTTTTTAAAATCCTGAAAATTACATATTCGAAATATAGTCACCCTATTTTTCGGTGATAAGTGTGTTGTTTTTGGATGCCAAGGAGGGGAAATTCAGCAAATCTTTAAAAACATGCCAGTACTTCTGGTGCTTTGAGTACTTAATTCCCAAAGCAAGAAGTCTTCTTCTTTTAGTACACACCAGGTACAGCACAGGAAAAGCTCCCAGTCCCACCATCATAGTGCAGAGAACAGAGTGCACTGTGACTAAACTGTAGGCCACACAGAGGTGGGGTATAGGCAAGGAACAGTCGAAGCTATATAGAGGTTAGATATGTATCATTGCAGTATCTGATCAACAACTAACCTAGTTTGAAATAGACGCAATGAGTCAGGATTGGAAAGGCTGGGTGGGTGGATAGATTTTGGCATCTACCACAGAACTCTGTTCTCAACATACAGCTTGCTTTGCAATGCGTTCCCTGTAGTCCTTCACTATTCTTGCCCTTGCCTAAATACCTCAATTCTGCAAAAGGCTGCTATCTTTGTTATTCAAATAAGTTAGTAAATTTATGCTCTTTTTCCTAATTGTCAAATACAAATTAAGAGCAGACCTCACAAAGGGGCACTGAAACATTAATTTCATTTCAGCAAAGGATGCTTAGGACCTGCAGGACTCACTAAGAAAGATTACAAGCTTTGTCTGCTCCATTTTAGCTCCACTCTTTCCCAAGGGCTAGTTCAGAAAACAGACTTACAGAATCATACCAAGGGGGGGGGATGCTGCCCTTACTAACTTTATAATCCTTTATTATGACATGAGGCAGTAAAAGGAATGAAAGCCTGGACAAAGCTGAAAAGGAAATCTGCCGAATCAACATTTAAAACATAAAAATGTCAACGCTTTATGTTCCTGAAGCAGTAACACATGTGCAAGTGGGTCTTACTGAAAAGAGAATCTGATGACACAATCCTGTAGCATCAGATGGAGAGAAGGAAAGGCCTCTAAATTCCTGGCAAAGAACTTCCCCTCCCACCTTAAAGTCCTGCCCTTTATGAACTTGTCGTTTCTTTTAGGGTCACAATCCGGCTGGAGGTTTCTTTGTTGTACCCATTAGGAAAGGGACCTTTCCTCCACTGTGTATTTCAGACCTGACAAGTGACCATACCTGATTATTTATTTAGGAGCTGCCATTACACGGGTTTGGAACTGGAATGCACCTTCACTTGTAACACTGAGCCCTGGGACAGTTATGGTTTATAGTTCATCACATGACCATGGTCAATATCCCTACCCGGTATACAGTAATATCCAGTGCTGCAGACATGCCAATGGAGAATTCAAGTTGGAAAGCTGCCAGACTTACAGGATCCAAATTTAGGGCAGTTCTGTCATATTTCATCACAGTCACTTTTTTTTTATCAACACCTTCTGCCCCTTTTCATCATTGCGTAGTGTTGGTATCTAGTACCTGCACACCCGCAATTTCATGCACAACTTTAGCCAACAAAATCCAGGAAGCTTAGTCATACTGGCGGTGTCCGATGAGATATGGGAGGTTAATTTTTACACTAAGGAAGCTCTCTCTAAACAGGACACACACACTTTCCTGCTTCTGGAGACCCTCCCAAGTTCTCAGAACAGAAGAGCAGAAGTGTTTCCTGTTAGGATATAAAACTAAGCAAGAATTCTAAACAAATTAAACAAGAATCCAAACAATTATCTGCAGAATTTTTGAAACATTCACATCACAAATGGACAACCCCTAGATAGGATGTGTGTGTGTGTTTCTGGTCTGTAATAGGTTTCTATTGCAGCCCAAATACATTGTGCGTGTTTCATTTGAACTTTCTGGGGCAGACAACTTTGATGGTCATACAAATGCACACAAACAACAAACCAGGAGAATTGGTACTACATGCTGCTCCACTAAAAGGAGATCTGGAAGAAACTTACATCCTGGCTTCACCTGCTGTCCTGGGGGTGTGGAATTGCCTGAAAGTGGCAATTACAACAGCTTGCGAGGGTTTAAGTCAGAGCTTGGGAAAAGTGAGGGAACAGAGATAATACAAGGTTAAGTTAATAATAGCATTCTTTGTACTCCTTTAAAGAAGTTTATAAAGCGACTCTCATTAGCTGCTTGGGTATTATCAGGATATCAGGGCTTCATGGATATCGCAGACAATACCTTGCAGGCAGGCAAGCAAGCAAGCGCCACTGAATCAAAAGTCTAAATGAGCACTTTCCAAAGTTTCCTCCTCAGATCTGCCCCTCAATAAGTTTCCAGCTGTCATGCTGTACAGAAGACTCTTCCTTCAGATGACAAGCTAGTTAGTTCTATGTTTGTCACACTCAGCTATCAGCTAGGAATAAAATTCCCTCGTTTGCAAAGATGCTGCCTGTAATTGCTTTCAGATGCACATGGACCCAGCTTATTTATACATTTGGCTGCTGATAATTATGCAACGTAGACTAGTTCACAGCCCAGTTGAGTTGTTTTAGGCCTTAGGCCTTATGCCCAAGGACTTAATTTGTGCCACAGCTCAATCCTGGAATGTATAAAAACAGATAAAGGACTCATTTACCTCATCACACACACAGGGCATTAGGGAGAGGTTCCCTGAAAAGATACAAACTACAGCTCCATCAAGTTTTCACCCTGAAATCAATGAGTGTGCATTCATTCATTCATTTTGCACCTTTCCCCTAGAACTGGGACTCAAAGCAGGTCACAAAAAGTAAACCAAATACAGATATAAAATACACACAGCTTAACATTTAGTTTTTTTTAAAAAAAGTAATTAAGCTATTTATGGATTTTTTAAAAATATAAAAAACCTATTAAATTGCAGGTTACACTCCTCCAGTACAGCACACTATGAAGACCACTTTAAAAACAGTCAATTCTCAAAGACCTCCTGGAATAATAGTCTTTGCCTGGAGGGAGCCAGTCTAGCTTCTCTAGGTGGCAGCCACTGCGAAAACCCTTTCCCAGTTTCCTTTAGATAGCCTGGACCTAAGCCATACAGGGCTTTATAGGTCAAAACCAGCACTTTGAATTGTGCCCAAAAACAGACGGGTAGCCAGTGCTGCTGTTATAACAAGGCAGTAGTGTGCTCTATATGAGCGCCAGTCAACAGCTTGGCTGAAGCTCTTTGGGCCAGTTGAAGTTTCTGAGCACTTTTCCAAGGTAGCCCCATTTAGGGGACATTACTGTGATCTAAATGGGGTGTAACTGAGGCATGTACCACTGTGGCCAGATCAGACATCTCCAAGAATAGGCACAGCTGGCACACTAAGCATTTCCCCCCAAGCTCCTTATCAGATACAGTACTTGAGAAGATACCCAAACTCAGCACTTCATACAAGTTGTGATGGGGCTAAATATCGAGACTATACATAGGCCTGCTTCATGTATCACCCCCACCCACTGATATTAGAAAGCCCCAAGAAAACAGTGGCAGCTAACTTTTCCTTCCTCCCAGCTAACCCAAGCCAGTTATTTCTAGGTAGTGGCAGCAGCATTAGCACTGCTACAAGAAGTGTGGTAGGGGCTGCCATTTGGTACAGCAAACCCTTGAAGCAAAGAGCTGCTATATGCTTGAGGCATCAATACATGTAGGAGTGTAAGCTCTTGTGTGGAACATCCCTTTGAGGTGAGGTGCCTCAGAGATTCATCTGACAATGATGCCTTCTGCTCAAGAGATTGCTAGGGGAGTTTCTGATTATCTTCCTCGTTCCTTATTTACACAGCTGTGAGTATAGGCCAACTAATGGCAGAATGGAGGTGGCATGATACCTCGAGACCAGCTGAACCAGCCTTCACCTGATGCAAGCATATGCCCAACTGCAGCCGGGTCCCTTGACTTCCTACTGGTTTGGTTCAACACTCTTCTGTAAGAATTAGGAAGCCACAGGTGTCTACCGTTTCTCTCTCTCTCTCTCGTAGAAAAGGGCCTCAACAAACTTGTTCTTTGTATATCCCATTTTGTAGCAAAAAGTACAAAGCAAGCAATGCATTGGAAAACTCACTGCAGCAAGGAATGGAATGGGTTGCAAGAACTGTGACCTTAACAAGTTACAGAAGCAATTGCATCTGTTCGGACTTTTGACAGTGAGAATGAAAGAATTTATAACAGGCAGTCCTCTAACTACAATATCCATGAGAAGTAGAAAAAGCCAGCAGCAGCTGAACAAGGCCAAATTAGTATCCAGCAATGGTTGTCTACAGAAAGGGTGGGGAAGGTTCGGCCCTTCAGATGTTGTTGAACTACAAATCCCATCAGCCTCAGCAAGCATGACCAGGAGTTGTAGTTCAACAACTTCTAGAAGGCTAAAGGCTCTCCATGCCTGGTCTACAGGACAGATGCAGAACAGAAAAGGGCAGACCACCGCTTCTTGTGGCTTGTAGTTCACAGCTGAAATCACTGAAATGTATCACCAATGATCTACATCTCACCCTCTCACTGGCCTTGGAAGCAGGCCTGTACTGGCTTACAGATGCCCCCCTAACCTAAAACTGCTCCTCATCTCCAGCAAAAAGCCAGAAAAGGTGCAAATCCAGAAACCTGACACTGTGGCAGATCCAGATGTCAACTCTGCAACACGACTTAGTAATTTATTCTAAAATTAACAGGGGATCATTCACCTGTGCATTTTCCAATGTGATTTTTATAGCAACAATGTCCTGCTGCCTTTTACACACAGCAGACTGGTTTCTATGCAAATGAAAGGGCACAAATCTGACATCAGAAATTGTAGTATCTGCAATTGGGATGGGGGTCAGAGGGAGTAGATTTGATGTCCACTCCCACTGGACCAATAGCATATTCCTTTTCACAGCAAGGAAGCAAGGATGCATTTCATACATCTAATTTTCCCTAAGTTACTTTGACAGATCTATATTCTAGTTGCATGTTGTTTTCATCTCAGTTTAAATAACTTTAGCATTTGAGTTTTCCCTTTCTGCACTTGACAATACCATACTACATTTGGAACCACAAAATACAGACAGAACATGCCAAATCAAATTGGAAAGAAGTGTTTAATTAAACACACAAGCTGGTCTATCATGGTTAAGATTTAGAAGCTTTCTGTACTAAATGACTGAATGTATGTATAACACTTATTAAAAAAACATGTATGTATAACAGCTTATTAAAAAAACATAATTGCAACTGGTTCCTTAGCAAAGGTTTACTTCAGTAAGGTACCAGTAGGTGTAAATAGGCTTTGCTCTAAAGAAAAGGCACAACAGAACTTAAAAATCCAGACATCATTTCACAAAGTTGCCCTTCTGGTTTCATTATCTAATCTCTTATCCTACTGACTTCATTATTTCAAGTTTCTACTAATATTCCTACATACAAAAATAATATTTCACAACTCACAATAACATTTGTTATTTTAAAAACTTAAATTTTACCCCTTGCAATGGGATTAGAATGGCTTTTTTCATTAAACAAAGATAATATTTAACACATGACAGACCAAGGAAATATAAAGTATTTATATTCCCAACAATGGTGGGAATCATTATATGCAGAGCTGTTCTGAATGGGAGGCACTGTACTACAAATGTCTAACTGCTGGACTGCTTTGAGACGCTCTCCAGAAACCGGGCAATTCCTCTTCCACGCCTAGTTGTTGTTTCACCTGTTGTTTTCACTCCTGAAGGATGCTGACCTAAGCAAACAATGCATGTGTCAATATATAACACAGAAGCCATGATAATTAAATCTTAATTTACACTCAACACCAACAGCTAGATATTTTCTATCATAAATATCAAAAAATAAGCTCACAGGACAGTCACAACAGTTTAAGTGGCTTCTATAAAACTGCTAAGGGAAGTGGAATCACAAGGTTTTGCTCTATCTTCCGTGCAAAGCCTACAGTTTCTTGCTTTCAATTGAGGCCTTTATAATCATGGAGAACTGATAAAATAGCAAGAGCCGCATTTTTATCAAAATAGCCTTGGCACAGTGATCCACACCTAGTAATCTCCATCTTCGGTACTAAAGCCAAGATTGATACCAAGGTGGGTTAAGCCAAGGTGGGTGTTCTCATGTGGCTAAAGGAGATTGCCCTAGTACAAGCAACCACTTCTTGAAGCTGCAGCACTGCAGAGAGATCTGTAACAAAAATGGGTGCCGATATTGAGTGCAACTACTTAGCTGGCACTTGTGGACCTGTTTTGGAATGCTCATCTCGCAGGCCTCTGGCAATGGGAGCAGTTGTCTACTTTATGCTCCTTGCTTTAGGAAGAAAAGACAGCAGTTGTGACCACAGGATGACATGGTGGTTGGTCGTAATGGAGGAAGTTTGCTGCCACAAGTTGAGCACTTAATGTACACTATGGCATTCAGCAAGTATTCAGATGGCACAGACTATAGAATTAAACAGGTAAAATGTGGGGGGGGGGAATGAAGATGGGGGTAGAAAGAGCCTTGCTTCTCTACTGATGAGTTTGAAGGAGGAAAGTTTTGAAGTTGCAGCTGTGGTGATCAACAAGGTCTTGGGACCATGTAACACCAGTCTTTAAGCATTGGCATTGGCATTGGCTGCCAATTAGCTACCGAGTCAAATTCAAGGTCTTAGTCGCCACAGACTAAGCATTTTAAGTCATAGGACCCAGTTACCTGAAAGACTATCTTCCTCCTCAAGTCTGTAACTTGAGATCTCCTAGTGTCTTGACAGCAAGACTACTCAGTTTTAACACCCTCGTTTTGAAATTCACTTCCCTTGGAAATTCATTTGGTGCCAAACCTACAGTTTTAGATGCCAACTTTTGTCAGGCCCTTTATGCATAATATGCTTGTTATCAAGGAAGGTAAGTAACTTGATGGTTTAACTGATTTTAATATTCAACTAAATAAAATCAATGCAGAATCTGCCATGAGGTCTACAAAGGACAGTATATAAATGATAAAAGTTATAACGTGAGTGGAGGAGCAACTCATTCAAGGAGAATGCCTTCTTAAAATTTTAGCCAGTATCACTGTAGAGAAATTCTGTGACTGTTTAGACATACCACAAGCTTCATTACATTTCCTTTATGCAGATGTTTTAGTGGTAGACTACAGTCAGCAGGATCACTCAAAACTCCAGAAAAGAATCAGGAAAGAATGTGTTGGACTTAACAGTATACAGGCACATTTTCTTTGACAGACATGCAGGTGTGAAACACTAGTAATGATTCTAACAGCAACTCGTTTTCATTACAGTGGTGCCCCGCAAGACGAATGCCTCGCAAGACGAAAAACTCGCTAGACGAAAGGGTTTTCCGTTTTTTGAGTTGTTCCGCAAGACGAATTTCCCTATGGGCTTGCTTCGCAAGACGAAACGTCTTGCGAGTTCTTGCGAGTTTGTTTCCTTTTTCTTAAAGCCGCTAATAGCCGTGCTTCGCAAGACGAAAAAACCGCAAGACGAAGAGACTTGCGGAACGGATTAATTTCGTCTTGCGAGGCACCACTGTACGTTTAATTTTCCAACATAGATAATCACTCACCAGTACAAGAGGCAGCACCTAGTTCCTCATTAAGAGATTGGAAGTACCTTTCATTTCCAGTGCGCTCAGCAGCCCTCATTTTCTGTAATGCAAAAAAGACAAGATCACCCACACAGAGATATTCTTTCACTGACTCATTCACCAGGTTTTCAGGACATTCTTGTATACAAAGAAAAGATGGATATAGTGCATAAGGAATATCTGCCTAATGTGCCTATTGATGGATGTATTAATATTCTGCACATAATTAAACAGACATATTGGTCAAATAAAAGTGTTTGTAAAATATAATTATATCATTATTTTTGAGCATATATCATGATTACATCCTACATTTCCAAGTACACTCCAAAAATGTTACCGATAAGATATAGAAGAACAAATCTGTTAAATGAACAAGGCTGACCTGGAAACGTCCAGCATCCAGAACCACCATTTTAGGATTTGCTGTGCTTTGGGAATCCTTCTCACTCAAGGGTAAGTGAGATGCAGTCAGCTGGACACAATACATATTGGCTAAGGAATTGCTGATACAGTATCTATATTGGACAGAAAAACACCAACATGAAGATGTGTTATTTCCACGAGCTGAACAGAAATTTAAAAACTACATACTACTGAAAATATACTGCACCAAGACCATGGATACAGGAACATAATTTGTGATAGGAGGCATTGGTTGAACTGCAGGGGCGCAACCAACTTGGGTGAGCTAAAGAAGGAAAATCAGCCAGGAGGCAATAAAAAGCCGTTCCTTTTAGCAACTTCTTCCAAGCGAATAGCAGCAGGAGCCTACAGAAACTGGGACCTCAAGAACCCCTCTGCCATGAGCAGAGACTATAACCTCCCAAACAACTACTTGTAAGTGAGGCCCAGGTTATTAAATTGCAGGTATCAGCCTATCAGAGACAGCAGAAAGGGGAAGATCTTTTGAGTTGTCTGAGAGACAAGTTGCTGCTTCTCAAGCCCCTTCTAGTTAAGGCCTTGGGCAACCAGTTTGGATGAACCAGGTGTGTGTGTGTGTGTGTGTGTGTGTGTGTGTTAAAACTGGTCTCTGCATATGTGTGGCACATCCTCCTCCAAAATAAATAAACCACAACAAAGTTTGCAAATGCAAGGTAAAAAAATTCTTCCTCATGAAATATACTCAAAATTCAGAGACCTTTTTGGTGACAATGCAAACCTGAAGTTTTTCCCAACTGACCTGTCTAGTAAGTGACACTTGGAAAACTTAATCAGAAAGAAATAGATTTTATTTTATTTGGATCTTTAAAATTCCTTTCTTCCTATAATAGCAGAAGTGCCACAAAATCACATCAGTTGCTCCTTCATTCAAATGCAGCCGACAAAGTGCCTACTAAAGAATATCCAAAAGAACCAACAGGTTATACTTGAAAGAGACAAGATGACCCCAGACATTGTATATGAAACTAATGTCCAAAATAGTTTTAAGATGCAAAAACATTCTAACATATTCACTGTATTTTCATACTCACGCAATTTTCTTGCAAGTAGCAAGAGCACAGAACACTACATCGTTTTCTTCATGCCACTTGCACCTAAGTAGAAATAATACTTTCATCATGAATGTCGAGTTTCAAATACAGTGGTACCTCGGGTTAAGTACTTAATTCGTACGGAGGTCCGTACTTAACCTGAAGCTAATGGGGCCTCCCGCTGCGCCGCCGGAGCACGATTTCTGTTCTCATCCTGAAGCAAAGTTCTTAACCCGAGGTACTATTTCTGAGTTAGCGGAGTCTGTAACCTGAAGCGTATGTAACCCGAGGTACCACTGTATATGCTTCAACAGTAAGACATTTTCAAGTTCTAGACAAACAACTTACCTTTTTCCCCCCATCTACTCTACTGTTTGGCATTAGAAACTTCTTCAAGACCCCAACCCACTATCACAAGATAAGGTGCTTTAAGAGCACAATCCAGGGGGGTTGTGGAAGAGAGTAGTGAAGAATGTTCAATAGCTTTTTCTTACATGGCGAGAGAGAATAGAAATAGGCAAAGTGAAACATTTGGTAGAACTCTGAGGCCGGCTGCTCAAAGCTAAGGCAGGACTAGAACATGTAGAGGCACCATCCCACACAGGGTGCCAGTTGAAACTCGCATAATCCTGCTTGGCCTATAGAAGCAAATGGGAGGAATACCTCATTCAATGATACCCACCTTCACTGTAGAAAATTCTGTTTAGACTTTAAAAACTACTAAATACTTCAAAATAGCTCTATGGGTGGTTTTTAACCAAATTTTACTCAAGAGCAGACCTATTGAAATTAATGAACCAAACACAAGCATATTCATCAATTTCAATGAGTCTAAACCTTAGTTTAATGTCTCAAACTCTTTTCTGAACTGAGTGCAAGGCTTTAGATTAGCATTCAACATGCACGCTTATAGCACCATAATTTATTTGTACCCCACCCATCAGACTGGGTTGCCCCAGACACTAAGCCATAGTTTTGTGTAATGTACAACTATGGAGAATCTGTCAATCACATTTTTTCCTGCTCATAACAGACTCTCATCTCATAGTAGTCAAGTCACTGTGGTTCAGGGAGGTACAGCAGTTATTATGATTTTTAGAGCTAGATATTATACCTAGTATTGCTGGAGTAATCCCACATGGAGGCATCCAGGGAGTTACACACCCATGCCTTGGAAGGCTCCTTTTGAAGCTTCTGATAATACAGCTCCACAACAAGGTCTTCCACACAGAGACTCTCCAGATTATTAACTGTGCCTATTATAAAAAAGTAAGTTTTAGGAGCAGCAGAGACTGTATCTAAATATTAACTTATTTCCTGTTGTAAAGGAAAATTTTCTTACCCACTTCTCTAGCCATATGCTGCAGGCACCAGTTGACCCTAAACTGGTCAGAAGACTGCAAAAGAAGTTTTAAGTATACATTATACAATCAAATCAACAGAATTAATAAATCTATACTATATATTCTTATTATAAGACCTCTATGGCTAAGGTTTCCTGATATTCTTGATAAGGGCTCCAACACCGAAACAGGAATTTTTCCTGTCTACAGCTGTTTGGTACATAATCTGACCAAAGCCAAAAGAACTGTCCATAGGTATTTGGTCTGCCTTGGAGAAGCAACAATTCAGGAATACAACTCTACACTCTTTTAGGTTGAATGTAGACACCATTTTGTACAAATGAAATCTCCTTAAGGAAAGGCCTCAAAACTGGAAATCTTTATGTGAAGCCCTTATGCTATAGAGATTGTCAATGGACAGCTTAAAAGTTAAAACATCTGTGTACTCCAACCTTACTTGATTTTTATACACACACACCACAGCTAACCAGGGAAAAGGCTAACTGAAGCATGTGGGTAGAGATTTTTGTTCTGGGTTCTTCTGAAAAGCAGAGAGCCATTAAAGTCTAAAAATGTTACATTATACCTTACAATACACAGGTGGCCAGGCGCCCCACCGTGGCTGAATAAATGAGTATAGCTCACGTAACACAACGGAATGATTTGCAGTTACAAGCTCAAAGCCAGATAGGGGAATCCTATGTGTAGCATCACCTAAGAGAAAATCAAAGTGCCTTATTAGGGCTTTTCAGAAGAAACACCTCATTTCACACGCATTTGTACTTTTAACTTTAGTTACAGTTCGCAGGATTAATATATCAGTTTCACTAAAAACACCTAAATATATCATTCAAGAACTTGTCTGTGTTTTATTCAAGTATTTTATCATTGCAACAACACTGTGAGATAGGGTTTATCACCAATGTAAAGGAACATTGTTAGACACAAGATGTCTAGTTGAGCCAAGTGCAGGTCAGTCAAGGCCTGTCAATGGTTGAACTTCACTAGCTGTCTAGAAAGGTAAATGATTACCCAAGGATCCTATTTATTTACATGCGTTTATAGCCTGCCATTCACCAGCAGTCCTAAGGCAGGTAATATACTGCCTAATATTCAAGAATTGAACTACTCTGTGTAAAATATCACTGAAGCAGAGATTAGGGCAAACCAGACAGCAAACACCACTAACACAGCAGTCCAGATACTTTAATTTCATCTTCCATCCCCAAAGTTTTGGGCAAGGTAGTGTATGCAATGTCTAACCATTATTATCTGGAAACACAAGTGAGTGACTGAAACCTAAATGAATGCATGAATATGAGTCCGGTTAAGAGCATAACTTCAGCATGTTACTTGGGAAGACATACTAAGCTTTGTTATGGAAACAGGCCCATACAGTTGTTTAAAACTGTTCTTTACTTTTTTATTGAGTAGCCAGTCCTTTTAAAGATTGCTTTGTCCTTTTAATAGTTTGTGTTTTTATACTGTTGTATATTGCTCCCGTTGCTCGGTCCCAGCGCCTGCCAACCTAGCAGTTCGAAAGCACCCCCGGGTGCAAGTAGATAAATAGGGACCGCTTACTAGCGGGAAGGTAAACGGCGTTTCCGTGTGCGGCTCTGGCTCGCCAGAGCAGCGATGTCACGCTGGCCACGTGACCCGGAAGTGTCTCCGGACAGCGCTGGCCCCCGGCCTCTTGAGTGAGATGGGCGCACAACCCTAGAGTCTGACAAGACTGGCCCGTACGGGCAGGGGTACCTTTACCTTTATATTGCTCTGATATTTTATGAGGGTGATATAAAAATATTTTGTATAAATAATAATAAACAAGATACAAATAAAATGCCATAGGATATCTGGCATAAAAACCGTTCTTTAAAATAATTAAAAAATAATTGGAAGACTATATGTGGGTCATAAAAAAATGCTGCCAATTCATAGGTTCCACATCTCTTGCTCAATACCTACTTGCTGTCTGGCAATGAAAGCGAAATCCCCTTGGCACCTCTCCTGCAAAAGACCAAAAAGAACTCAGGCTTTATTATGCAATACCAAGCCGTCTGTAGGATTGCATGGTTATAATACACCATTTTCTGCTTTCCTACAGAATAGTAAATCAGTGTCCAAATACTTGTCTAGAAGTACAATTTTATTTCTTTATAATGTATCTTTCGTAACACAGAGATTAAAAATGCACAACATACGAACATACTGATTTGGGCAGTTCATGTCTTCTGCTGACACAAGGAATGTTTCCAGTTAAGTTTCATTTATTCATTAAGTAATGCTGTCATTGTGGTTTTGTCCACTATATGAAGCCATTTTTATTTTTTCATAGTGCATACAATTAACTGTCCTGGACAAACAGAATCCTGCATATCTTCTCTCCCCCCCCCCCACCAGGGAAAGACAAATTTCATCTCTTCTGATTCCAAAAGCTCACCAGGATCTAAAAAATGATGAAACTCTGCAATTATGCCGTCTTTTAGTGAATACTTCACACATCCAATTTCGCAAGGAAGGAAACGTTGTTTGCAATGAGAGGGTAGAACTCCATGGCTGAAGATATTCAGGTAGAAGAATGTGGTTTCAAGTACAACTGAAACAATATTTTGTATTAAGAATATTAGTGGAGAGTACAGTGGTACCTCAGGTTACATACGCTTCAGGTTACAGACTCCGCCAACCCAGAAATAGTGCTTCAGGTTAAGAACTTTGCTTCGGGATGAGAACAGAAATTGTGCTCCGGTGGTGCGGCAGCAGGAGGAGGCCCCATTAGCTAAAGTGGTGCTTCAGGTTAAGAACAGTTTCAGGTTAAGAACAGACCTCCGGAATGAATTAAGTACTTAACCCGAGGTACCACTGTATTTGTTTATTATTACTATAACAAAAAAGTAAAATAGTTGGAGTAAAATGTACACCTATAGCACTGGAAAAAAATCATGAAACTAAGTCACTTACCTGCAACTCCAATTTCCAGGCAACCCTCAACCAGACTAGGACTGCATACACATTATAACTTTGAAGCACATTTCCCCTCTCAAAGAATTCTGGGCACTGTAGTTTATCTCTCACAGTTATAATTCCCAGCAACTTGTAGCAAACTAGTGTCCTTGAGAGGGGAAACGGGATTTAAAGAGGTAATAAATGTTATTTTTGTTTCAGACACTACAGATTGTGGACAGGGTGGAGTGTTTTAAGGGGTGGCAGAAAGATATTTCCAAATTTGTCTGGCAGGGCAAAAAGCCCAGAAATAAAATTCAAAATATTAACCGATGCAAAGGAAAGAGGGGGGTTTGCCCTGCCAGACTTAAGGTTGTATTATGAATCAGCAGCTTTCTGCTGGTTGAAAGACTGGCTGCTTTTGGAGAACACTGATGTTTTGGATTTGGAAGGGGTTCAATAATGCTTTTGGATGGCATGCATATCTGAGGTACGACAAGGTAAAAGTGCATAAGACTTATTAGAAAATAAGACCCCAAGGTGGTTGTCACCAATGGAAGCTAAGGCCCTGAAAAGACCAGGTCAATATGGAGGCCAAATGGCCAAAGATTGGGAAATACTAGAAAAAACTGGAGACACTTGGAGATTGCAGAGTTTTGAGAAACTACAGATAAATGCGAGATTGGTTACATTATGCCCAGATTAGGGAGGTTTTTAATTTGGATAAAAAAATAGGCTTCCAGGTGGAAAAATCAAAATTAGAAACAGAACTGTTAGAACCCAAAACTAAGATACTTTCAAGAATGTATAACTTGCTGCTGAAGTGGAATACACAGGATGAAACGGTAAAATCAGCTATGATTAAATGGGCACAGGACATTGGGTATAACATTATGTTTGCTGATTGGGAACGTCTGTGGACCACCGGTGTTAAATTTACGGCATGTAATGCCTTGAAAGAAAATATTATGAAAATGATATACCGGTGGTACATGACCCCAGTCAAGCTTGCAAAAATATATCATTTGCCTGATAACAACTGTTGGAAATGTAAGGAAACTGAAGGGACTTTCTTTCACCTCTGGTGGACATGCCCAAGGGTTAAGGCCTTCTGGGAGATGATTTATAATGAGCTGAAAAAGGTATTTAAATATACCTTTCCTAAGAAACCAGAGGCTTTCCTTTTGGGCATAGTCGGCCAGAGGGTGTTAAAAAAGGACCAAACTTTCTTTATGTACGCTACAACAGCAGCAAGAATTCTTATCGCAAAGTATTGGAAGACTCAGGATTTGCCCACGCTGGAAGAATGACAGACGCAACTGATGGACTATATGGAACTGGCAGAAATGACCGGCAGAATTCGAGACTTGGGAGAAGAGGCAGTGGAAGAGGACTGGAAAAAGTTCAAGGACTATTTGCAAAAACATTATAAGTTGTATGAATGTTAAGAGGATGAAGGTTAGAAAAAGATATGGTACCAAACAATTAAAGTGTAAGAAATTTGAGGATAAGAGACAATTAAGGAAAGAGAACTAATTGTGACATAATATATGAAAATGACAATGCAAATATTGAAAGAAGGTGATAAATTGCTGTTTATAAATTTATAAACTGGGAACGCAGGTACGGGTGATTTGAGGAGGTCCAAAATGCTATGAAAATTTGTTATGAAACAGGTGAGGTGATTTTCTTTTCTTTCTCCATTTCTGTATTTTTCAACCTATGTTCTGACTTTATGTTTTGTATGTTAATCTTTGTTTATTAACTGTTTAAAACTTTTAATAAATATTATTATTAAAAAAATAAAGAGGTAATATAGCCAAGTTTTGAATTGTCATGTGGTGTTCCACCCCCAACCTGCTACAGCCACAACAGTCTGCTTATAACGATGCAGCAATCTCAGATTATAAAACCAAGGCTAATATCATTCTTTATAATACAAAAGTGGTTAAGAAACCTCAGATAAGACAGTGTCTACATTGAAAAAGTGGTCAAGAGTGGTCCACTCCCCACAAAGTAGTAGACATTATCTGTTTAATTACGTATGTTTTTTGGCAGTTGAGTAACAATGGATGCCATCTCAAAAGATAGTTTTCTGGTAGACCAGAGACTACATTTTCCCTGAGTTGAGCCTAAAAACATCACAGAAACTTGTCTGGGATGTTGAGATGCAACCTCAGAACTCACAAAGCCACTGCTGACACCAAGAGAATTGGAAAGTGTCATCTTAGATTGGATGCTTTAAATGTGTCGGTGAATCCTATGTAATACTAGAAAACTCATTCTGTTAAATTTATTCTGTATGGATCCCTACGCATCCCACATTACACCACCCATGCACTAGGGGAAGTATTACAGGCTTGAGGAAAGCCTGGGTTTGCAAAAGTACAAAAAACCAAAATCACACCATCTTTACATATCAACTGGTGGCTAGTCACAGGCAGTGAATCCTTCTAAACCTGCTTAGCAAACTTTCAGCTACTCCCTTAGTTACTGAATGACGTTTTATCCTGCTCTGCAGTCAAAGAAAACCTCCAAAGTGGCTTACAAATCACTACCAAAAAAAGTGCCTTGCAGACAGCCATGCAGGCATAACCAGAGAAGTCACCAGGAGATTTTGGATGTTTTATACATTTGGAGAGGGAAGAACGGATGATTTAAAAGCAGTGCCATGTGCCAGTAACTGCAACATTGCTTGTAAAATGATGAGTCATTGTCACAAATATGCTGCAGTTGAGTGTCACTCAAAAAAAATGCATAAGCAGTTGGAATATCTGGGAGAACTAGAACTACTTGCCCATGTTAAGAACTACTTCATGGGTCACCATAACCATCAGACCAAAGCAAGTTGCTTGTACCATAAGCATCAGAAGGACCAAAATGTCATGGACACAAAATGCTGCCCCTGAATATTCCAATGAACTTTTTGATCAAGACATGTAGACAACAACTCTTAAGGATTACATTGGGCTTCAATAACTTATTGTTTCAACATCAAATCCTGTAGCAGCTTTAGTTTCTTATTTGGAGTCCCCACTCCCAATACTCTATCACCCACTGCCTCTATTCCATCAGGTTCAGTACTTTCACCTCCTCCTTATTTGAACTCTGTCCTGCACTCAGGCTTTGGTCCTGTATACCTGAAGGTATGTTTCCACCCCCATCGTTCAGCCCGGACACTGAGGTCCAGCACTGAGGACCTTCTGGCGGTTCCCTCACTGCGAGAAGTGAGGTTACAGGGAACCAGGCAGATGGCCTTCTCTGTAGTGGCACTTGCCCTATGGAACACCCTCCCATCAGATGTCAAGGAAATAAACAACTACCTGACTTTTAGAAGACACCTGAAGGCGGCCCTGTATAGGGAAGTTTTTAATGTATGATTTACTGTGGTTTTATAATTTGTTGGAAGCCACCCAGAATGGCTGGGGTAACCACAATTACCACTCAATTTCCTGGAAGCAACAAAAAGCAGACCTGCTAGCACAGTCTCCAGTCACAATGAACACATTGAAAGTTGGGCAGATCAGGTGAACTAATATAACTATCATTTACCTTTATCACTCTTCCCAGGTGGACCAATGAGGTTTGGAGCAGAAACTCTCTTCTCAGTTTGTGTGGAAGGAAATGTGGGAAGAGGTGCTGGGACTTGCCTGGGCGGCTATGAAAAGTGTAGACAATCCATCAGTTAATCATATATGAATGAAGGGAAAGCAATTACAGTAGTATCCAATTAAAACTGCTAAGACTAATCTTTCCCTCTCCTGGCCCTGTAGAACCTGCAAACTATGAGCCAATCACATAATTATTATGAGCCAATCACATAACATACACCACACTGCCATGAAGTCACCTCATTACAGTGGTACCTTGGGTTAGATACGCTTCAGGTTACATACGCTTAAGCTTACACACTCCGCTAACCCAGAAAAAGTGCTTCAGGTTAAGAACAGAAATCGGGCTCCGGTGGCACGGCAGCAGCAGGAGGCCCCATTAGCTAAAGTGGTTTTTCAGGTTAAGAACAGTTTCAGGTTAAGAACGGACCTCCAGAACGAATTAAGTATTTAACCTGAGGTACCACTGTACTGGGCTTACACCGAGGTGACATCTGTATGAATTCCCACTTTCACACAGGTGATGTGCAGGCACACCAACAGCAGGGGTCCAAATTACCACAATGGAATACTAATGAAGTTTGCCCCTCACAAAAATGGGACCTTGACACAATCCTGGCAGCAACCTTATACAGTGGTACCCCGCAAGACGAACGCCTCGCAAGACGGAAAACCCGCTAGACGAAAGGGTTTTCCGTTTTGGAGGCGCTTCGCAAAACGAATTTCCCTATGGGCTTCCTTCGCAAGACGAAAGCCCATAGGGAAATCTCCGGGGACCTCTTTTAAATGCTAGCGGTGGGGAGCAAAGCCTTTCCCCCCCCCTCCGGCCTTCAGAAGAGGTCCAGGAAGGCTGGCAGGGGCCGAAAGGCTTTGCTCCCCACCGCCAGCATTTTAAAAGCAGTCCGGGATAGCAGGGAAGCGCTTCCCGCTATCCTGGACGGCTTTTGAAGGCAGGAGAGGTCCGCGAAGCCTGGGCACGCTGATCTCAGCGCGCGCAGGCTTCGGCATGCCAGCAACTCACCGCAAGCAGCGGCAGCGCTGCCGCTGCTTGCGGAGAGGTCCGCGAAGCCTGGGCCGGACAGCTTTTGAAGGCAGGCGGGGGGGAGCAAAGACTTTCGCCCCCGCCAGCCTTCAGAAGAGGTCCTGGACCTCTTCTGAAGGAGGGCGGGGGGCAAATGTCTCCCGGGAGGGCTTTTAAAGGCAGGCAGGGGGGACAAAGACTTTCGCCCCCCGCCAGCCTTCAGAAGGCTGGACCTCTTCTGAAGGCTGGCGGGGGGCAAAAGTCTTTGTCCCCCCTGCCTGCCTTCCCAGGGGCTTTTAAATCACCCCGGACAGCGGAGAAGTCCTCCGCTGTCCCGGGGCGATTTTAAAATGCCGCCCGCCAGCATTTTAAGATTGCCCCGGACAGCGGAGAAGCCCTCCGCTGTCCCGGGGTTTTTTAAAATGCTGGGGGTGGGAAGAAAAGCCCTTGGCCCCCCCCCCCCGCCTTCAGAAGAGGTCGGGGGACAGACTGTCCCCGGACCTGGTCTGAAGTCGGTTTCCCTAGGAACGCATTAATTGATTTTCAATGCATTCCTATGGGAAACCGTGCATCGCAAGACGAAAAACTCCCAAGAAGAAAAAACTTGCGGAACGAATTAATTTCGTCTTGCGAGGCACCACTGTATATTATCAAGTAGGATGGAATGAAACCTCACCCAGTACTTTTTTCTGGGGGGACGCAGAGCTCTAAATATTCTGTGAATCTCTGTACTTCTGTCCATTTACTCTACAGTGGTACCTCTGGATGTGAACGGGATCCGTTCTAGAGCCCTGTTCGCATCATGAGCAGAACGCAACCTGTGTCTGCGCGTGCCGCGATTGCATGTGATGTCATTCTGAGCGTCTGCGGATGCAGTGAAACCCGGAAGTAACCCGTTCCGTTACTTCCGGGTCGCCGCAGGACGCAACCTGAAAAGATTTAACCGGAAGAGTCTTTAACCCGAGGTATGACTGTATTTATTTTCCTCAATTTGAACTATAAAATGGTCATTTTCTTGAGTCAAAATGAGAGTACCCCTAAACATTTTTTTTAGAAAAAAAGAACTGACCTCACCTATAGACCTTCCATTGTATTATCTATAGTTGAAACTCAGTTACACTGTGATATATCTAATTTAAATATTAACTCACAATTTTCAAGACTAGAAAGTTTACAATTCAGACTTCCCATCTATTTTTACAAGAAGGAAGAAAAAGTAACATACAACACAATCACCAGTTTTAAGGCTCACGTTTTTGAATTATAAACGTTGATCCCTGCATTTTATTGTTACGTTTGCTTATTAGGTCACATCCACACCACACATTTATTTCCGCCGAAGAATCCTGGGAACTGTACTTTACTCCTCACAGAGCTACAATTTTCAGGATTCCTTGGTGGAACTCACGTGTCTCGAATGTATAGTGTGGATGTGAACTTTGTCAAAGGATTCAATCCTCCTATTTCAGGAACAGCTGCAACATAAAAACCTCCCTGGCTTGTTTGGAAGGGCTCATTATAATCACAACTATACAACACCTGTGACTGACCAGCTCACTCAGAACCTTCTTTCAAACACATCAAAGTTACTTTTCTTTTATTCCCACAGACTATAATGGGGTTTTCTTCCAATTTATACTATAATTATATAATTACTAACTTGCCTCTGAAAATATAGAACTGATTTTCCCTATTCCAGATTCATTCATTCACCTCTTTTGTTGCTACATCTGATTTCTTAGCTTTCCGTTGACGAGCCATTTCTGCATACTTTTCTTTTTGTTCCTCAGTCAGCATCTTGAAGTAAAACCAGTGTAACATAAGGGCTTGCCATTATTTCTCTACCACAATTAAAGCAATTCCCCCCATCACTACAACACCAAGATACTGAACACAATGCAGTCAGTTAAGGCTTTTAAGCCTCAGTAATTCCACTGGGAAAGTTAAGAACAATCTTAACTCTCATAGAAGTCAGCCTAACTTTAAAAAGTGATTAACTTTGGGTTGATTGTGCTCAGCAACTTTCCCACCACTCAGAACTTTGCAAGCTTGTCTAGAGGAAAGCCCTAGCCTACAGAATTCAATGTGGTTCACTCACTAGTAAATTAGTGGTATCCGATATTAGCCATACTCAGAGCAGACTTGGAGTACAGTTAAGAAATGTCAATCATTTGATTCCAAATGGTCTAAACTGAGTACAATTTAGTTGGATATATCCCAGGGTGCTTGTAGCATAACCTGAAGCAAGACTGTTGTACCTAAAGGGTGTAAACCCTGTTCACATACCAAGAATTCAAAGCCACAGTTAAGTAACTCAACTTTTAAGGGAGGATTTGGGAAGTCTGCAACCTATATATCTGCAATCTGCAGTCTGTATATTTCTATTCACTGACTTTAGTCATCTTTCTAGTTTCTCCAATCTTTCACCTTTTGGATTATTGCGAATAGCATGGCATGACTACTTTTTCAAACCTTGGCAGAAGCCTCTTTGTGCATATGACTGGCAGTGGGGAAAAAACCCATTTGGGGAATGCACCTTACAAGAGTCCACCATTTCTTTACAAACAGACTTTTTTTTTTTAAAAAAAGGAGGGCTGAAACCAGTGGTAGGGTAGCCAGTCACTCCCCATCACTACAATAGCAGTTACAGGCTCTACTAAAGTCCGCATCAAACTTTTTTTTTAAAAAAGTTGCTCATTCTAAGCCACCGTGAGTCTTTGATAGGAAAAGTGAGGTAAAAAGGGTCTAATTAAGGAAAATGTTGACCTCACACTTGTTTTTTTAAGTATTTTACAGCACTCATTCTTCAGCTGGGGTGAGTATGGGGGGTTTAAATTCCCCAAACAGCTTATACGTAACAACTATCGACAACTTGTCCCCCTCCCTCCTTGAGAATCAAAACCAGGTTATCCAACTCCATGGAGGGTCTAACATGGCTCCCCGCGCCGACCAAGAAGGGCGAGAGAGAGGAGGCCCGCCTCGCCTCGCCCCGCTCACCGCCCAGTCGTCGGAACAGAACGGGATGGCATCCCGCACGCCCGTCACGGCCAGGCCCCGCCGCTTCAGCTCCGGCAGCTTCTCCAGCACGAAGAAATAATAAGCGTTGCGCGCGCCTTTGCGGTTAGGCATCGCGCTCGGGGCAAACGGCCGAAGCAGAGAAGAGCAGCACATCCGCCTCCTTCCCCTTCTCCCCTCTTATAAAGGAGAGGCCGAACGCCGCGCCGCCCTTTGGGCCCCGCCGCACCGACGACGGAGCCTCCACGTGCGCGCGGCTGGCGGCGGGGGGAAGCCGGGATTCGCTGAGGGGAATGAGAATGATTTAAAAAAAAAATTTAATTAAAGTGACCCGAGGCAGAGCCAAGCGCTTTCTTCTTTTTTCACGTCTTTGAGATTAATTCGCATGGAAGTTGTAGAGTGTTTTCATGGGGCTGTGGGGTGAAATGCTTTTCTAATAAGCAAGTCTTGATCTGAGGCCTACACCCACCACGGTGCCTCGGAGCTTGTTTGCTCCTCAGAGGTTCGTCTCTTGTGAATTTCTGCAAGCCAGTCATGGAATTCTTCAAGTTCACCTTCTTGGCTTGCTAAGTTTGACCTGGCACGCCCCACTATATATTTATCTTGATCGAAACATATTATGAAACTGGCAAATGGTGGTGGTGGTGGGGAGGTCAAATGAAAAGTAAGAATACACCCCCATTCAAATAAAGATTAAACACACAAAAAAAGAGAGAGGTACGCATTTGGGCTGATGCATTCACAGTCCCTGGAATAAATTATTGGTATTGGAGGGTAACCTCCCACCCTTTCTTATTTCAAAGTCATCTTGGCTCATTGGGTTTGAACCTGCAAACTATATTTCAAGATCGCAACCCTGTTTTGTGAGAGGGCTCCTTGTACTTTTAACTGGACAAGCTTTTCCTATCAATTCATCTCTATGCTGGATAAAACTGTTAGATTGTGGTTCAAGAACATTTAGATACCAGAACGGGAGTTTAGTTCTTTGTTGTTGTTGTTTAGTCGTTTAGTCGTGTCTGACTCTTCGTGACCCCATGGACCAGAGCATGCCAGACACTTCTGTCCTCCACTGCCTCCCGCAGTTTGATCAAATTCATGCTGGTAGCTTCAAGAACACCATCCAACCATCTCATCCTCTGTCGTCCCCTTCTCCTTGTGCCCTCCATCTTTCCTAACATCAGGGTCTTTTCCAGGGAGTCTTCTCTTCTCATCAGGTGGCCAAAGTATTGGAGCCTCAGCTTCACGATCTGTCCTTCCAGTGAGCACTCAGGGCTGATTTCCTTAAGAATGGATACGTTTGATCTTCTTGCAGTCCATGGGACTCTCAAGAGTCTCCTCCAGCACCATAATTCAAAAGCATCAATTCTTCGGCGATCAGCCTTCTTTATGGTCCAGCTCTCACTTCCATACATCACTACTGGGAAAACCATAGCTTTTACTATACGGACCTTTGTTGGCAAGGTGATGTCTCTACTTTTTAAGATGCTGTCTAGGTTTGTCATTGCTTTTCTCCCAAGAAGCAGGCGTCTTTTAATTTCGTGACTGCTGTCACCATCTGCAGTGATCATGGAGCCCAAGAAAGTGAAATCTCTTACTGCCTCCATTTCTTCCCCTTCTATTTGCCAGGAGGTGATGGGACCAGTGGCCATGATCTTCGTTTTTTTGATGTTGAGCTTCAGACCATATTTTGCACTCTCCTCTTTCACCCTCATTAAAAGGTTCTTTAATTCCTCCTCACTTTCTGCCATCAAGGTTGTGTCATCTGCATATCTGAGGTTGTTGATATTTCTTCCGGCGATCTTAATTCCGGCTTGGGATTCATCCAGCCCAGCCTTTTGCATGATGAATTCTGCATATAAGTTAAATAAGCAGGGAAACAGTATACAGCCTTGCTGTACTCCTTTCCCAATTTTGAACCAATCAGTTGTTCCATATCCAGTTCTAACTGTAGCTTCTTGTTCCACATAGAGATTTCTCAGGAGACAGATGAGGTGATCAGGCACTCCCATTTTTTTAAGAACTTGCCATAGTTTGCTGTGGTTGACACAGTCAAAGGCTTTTGCATAGTCAATGAAGCAGAAGTAGATGTCTTTCTGGAACTCTCTAGCTTCCTCCATAATCCAGCGCATGTTTGCAATTTGGTCTCTGGTTCCTCTGCCTCTTCTAAATCCAGCTTGCACTTCTGGGAGTTCTCAGTCCACATACTGCTTGAGCCTTCCTTGTAGAATTTTAAGCATAACCTTGCTAGCGTGTGAAATGAGTGCAATTGTGCGGTAGTTGGAGCATTCTTTGGCACTTTCCTTCTTTGGGATTGGGATGTAGACTGATCTTCTCCAATCCTCTGGCCACTGCTGAGTTTTCCAAACTTGCTGGCATATTGAGTGTAGCACCTTAACAGCATCATCTTTTAAAATTTTAAATAGTTCAGCTGGAATATCATCACTTCCACTGGCCTTGTTATTTGCAGTGCTTTCTAAGGCCCATTTGACTTCACTCTCCAGGATGTCTGGCTCAAGGTCAGCAACCACACTACCTGGGGTATACGAGACATCCATATCTTTCTGGTATAATTCCTCTGTGTATTCTTGCCACCTCTTCTTGATGTCTTCTGCTTCTGTTAGGTCCTTACTACTTTTGTCCTTTATTATGGTAATCTTTGTACGAAATGTTCCTTTCATATTTCCGATTTTCTTGAACAGATCTCTGGTTCTTCCCATTCTGTTGTTTTTGCCCCCATGCAAATAATGTTTATTGCCCCCCTCCTGAAGCTGCAATCAGCCATAGTGCGGGGAAGATTTTCCTGTTCTGTGGCTAATAGCTTCAGAGAGGGAATATTTGAATCCCTGATCCAAACTGGGGATCCCATGGCTACTCTTTCAGAAAGAAAAAGCTGTTGGGATTGCCAATGGAGCTTCAATGTTATCTTTTGTTTGAACCACACTTCAACAGTAACAGAAACTCCAACTTGAGTATATTCAGTTTGGTTTTAATTGGGACTCTAGATATTCACTTAGCAAACCGCAGACAGGAAAATAAAATAGTGTAGTATTACCTGGGTCTACTGCTGTGCATTGGTCATTTTGTTGTTTTGGCTCTGCACATAAATGCTCCTGACTCTTGAATTTCAGGACTGTTTGGCCCCATTAGTTACACTCGTCCCCTCCGTTCTGTAGCTGTGTGTGTGTATCTGTCAGGGCCGCCTCAGGTCCCAGCTCACAAGAGACCAACGCCAAGTCCACTTTATTTACAAAAGTCTTTATTGAAGTACATTGTTTGTTCCACAGCCGAGGCGCGCAGCCCCACGTCTGTTACGCTTAGACCGCTGAAGTCCCCTCTGAATCAGTCCCGCCTCTACACCAGTTTAAGAGGCTTGTGCTAGTCCACCTCTTCCTGTCCTTCCTTTTCCGCAGGGTCTTTCTGCCCCCCTGGGTTCCTTCCCTCCTGCTTTCCCCTGACGCTGAGTCCCCAGACGCCTGCTCCCCCCTCCTCCGTGCTTTGGGACCAGGCTCCTCCTCCGGGCTCTCCGCATTTCCGCGCGCCTCCACATTTGAACTTGGCGCGCGTTCGCTACCCCTGACCTTCCTCTTGACAGTTATACTACTCTCTGTACTACTCTCCGCTCCTTCCGGCAGGACGTCTTGCCCCAATCTCCTTCCCCTGTCTGCTTCCTGCTCTGCTCCGTGTGTCACACTGGGAACTCCACCCTCTTCACTCCGTTCCGGCTGGGAAGCCGGCCCCGATCTCCCACTCCCACTCGGGGTTTCCCTGCTGCTCCCCTGCTCCTGACGAGTCCCCCCTGTGGCTCCCCTTGGCCTGACCAGGGGCGCCCCCTTTTGGGAATCCTCCGATTCACTTGAGAGACTCATGGAAGCCCTCAAGTCATTGTCATCTTCCTCCTCCTCGTTCCTGGATTCTTCCCCCTCGCTCTCAGTCTCCTCCCTCATCTGTGCCTCTCTCCCTGAACCCCTGACAGTATCTATATCTATCTATATCTATATCTATATCTCTCTCTCTATATCTGAAAGTAACCTTTCATGTCTCTGGTGAGGAGGAAGTCTAGTCAATGCAAATTTATGCAGCAATACATCTGTTAGTCTGACTCTTTCTTGTTTTTATTTTTATCTGTAACCCAGTACCCACACAGTACAGATGGGCTTTGCATAGTGAACACCGTAGTCAGAATTTCTCTTGTGCATTAGCATTGCTAGTTGCCTCAGCACATCAGAAAAGTGCAAGCTGAAGCCATAATTGTTAGGTGCAATGTAATGGCATCATATAAAGCTGTTATGTAGAACAAAGTACTACAGAGGCAAGACCGGGTATGAGTCACTTCCTAAGGATATTTTTGGCCATCATGCAAAACCTATGCTAGGTATGTTACAGATGAGTTTTCTTAATTCCTCACCATTTGCCAATGTAATTGTCATACATAGTCCCCCCATGCATATCTCTGCAGTTTCCCATTTGAATTAGGCACAGTAGAACTCACCCCTAAATTAAATGAAGTCCAAGAATGCATAGTGGGCTGCATTTGCTCAAGTTTATACCTTATTATTACAACACATCCCTCCCTCTCTTCTCTTTCTCTGCTGTTTCCCATCATACCCTATATTGCTTATACTGTACGTAGACTGCAATATTCTGGAGGCAGGACCTACTGTAAAGTGCAGTGTACATTGATGGTGCCTTATCAATACAAGTATAACAAAACCAGATATGTTGATGATAGATAGGAGCAGAGATCGAACACTTACAACCCTATCCTGTATATTGTGGTGTTAGAATAGATAATCTAAATTTGAAAGCTTGCTGTGCCCTCCATAACAGTGGCAGCTAGTCTGAAAATATTATCAGGCTGTGCATCTCTGCCAGGAGAAGGATGCTATCCATGCTCTCAGAATGGCTACCACTGAGCCCTGGATTGCACCAGTACATGGTAGTCAGTATTAAGCTGTCCTTATTCAGAAGCAGCTCTACAACTCATTACCTCAGCAGCACGTAAAGACATGCAGGCACACATGAACACATGCAGACAGATTGTACCCACTTTCCTGAGCCTTATGGAAAGGAAAGGAAAGGCTGCAGACTATAAATTGACTAGATTCAGCCAAGAACAAAAATATTTGTCATGAGGCAAAGTAAGTACCGTAAGTGCTTCAGCAGCAATTTGTTGTGAATGTGCTAGTGATGAAAGAGAGATTCCAATGTGGAGTGCTAGCAGAGGAAAGCTTTTATAGTGTATGGCAGTCTTAAAGAA